GTTGTCACTATATAGGTACCAGCATTGAGCGTATTACAGGGAAACGATTGTAGTTTTACTGTTATAAAAAACTACTACCAACTGTTTAACCAGAAGAAATGAACATGAAGTGAGATCGGAAGTGTAGGAATCACTTGTATTTACTTGATACTTAATACTTGAATGGCCCGTCCTCACTGGTTATGCGGGCCCCAGCATAATCTCCATTTTTCAGAGATTTGTTGGTTAGCCATTGTGGTTCCCTGGAATTCCGAGGTCAGTATGGCAAAAGTCTGCCCCAGGTCTATCACGGGCACTCGCAGCCCCTGTGGATTAGAGGGAGTTTTGCCACCATCCGACTTTGATACCAAGACGGTGGTGGATCCTGGTATTGGTTTACTCTTAGCTAGGTTTCCTGATGAAAACGCCGGACTCCTTCTCAGCTTGCGAGACCCTGCCAGGGAATGAATCCTCCGCTGTACATCGCAGTCTGACACCCAGGAACACCTCCCAGCCACGATGAGGCGGTAAACCGTTGGGAGGTTGGTCGAGGAATCATTGGTACTGTTCGAAAAACAGAATATCCAGTTTCTGCACTATTCTATTAGGATTAATAAGGAAAATGTTTATTCCACAAAAAACAATAAAATTTAGTCTAAAGAGGGCAGAGACAATTTTAGTTCTATACCATGACATTTGCAATAAAAGATTAAAGGTGCGAAACCAATTAGCATATTCACGACGAGGTGAGCCATATATGACTCATTTTCTTCCCGACTTTTATCTTGCCGAATAGAATTTTGTTGCTGCATTTTTTGCAATCAATAGATAGCTTGTGCAACACAGATGCTGTGGTGAACATTTACTGAGAATAGCTCTATTCTGCACTTAAAAATAAACAACAAAACTTCCTTTTCGGGCCAGTGGTCTTTTCACTCATTGCTTTCAATTCCATGGTGGACACTCAAGCACTGCTGTAGTTGCGCACCGTAGTTTGCAACTTGCGACGTTCTACCGACACTGCAGGATGGGGAGCAGGAGCAACTTTTATAGGCATCTCTTTAGTTTGTAGGACTGATCGTTTCCAAAGTGCTTCTTCACTACCGTATTTTCACAAAGTATATCTCTGCAGACACTCTGTAATCTGAACTCTTTTTCTCGAAATCTGATGTTGTAGGCGACGTCTTTGCTTCTGATTTTTCATCCCGCTTCTCGCTTTCATTCTAATTTTTCACTCTTTTTTGGATTTTTTCATGCTTTTCACATATTCCGTAGTCGCCAAAAGTCACGATTTCTCCAATGTACCCTTCTCACACATTTCATATATAATAATTGCAATCATTAAAATCCTGCCATTTTTACAATTTGCTATTCCACACACAATTTACCCCTGCAGTTTATTCCTTGTGCGGCTTATATTGGAATAATCTAGGAATTATTTGTTGCATTGGTTCGCATTCGTTCTAGCAGATTTTCAGCCATAAAGGGATAAATGATGACGCTCTTCGCGTTAATCAATCCGTGAGGGATCTGCTATGCATTCAACTCCATTCACTTCCATGCATTCATCTCCATGCACTCTCATTGTTGATTGAATGTATAGTGTGCTATACTTGTCGTGGCCTGCCGACCTATCAAGTTATTAATTGTGTATCAAGTTAGTTTTTCTATACTCTCACATAACCACCACATAAAGGGAGGGATCTGATGCCGATTATGCCGATTATTTGTGAGGCAACATGGAGTTGTCCCGAAGTGGGTGGTTAAGAAACTAATTGCGGACCAAAAGAGACACAGGAGGAGCCAGGTGGTCGACTTCCTCTTTTTGCTGCACTGATTTCACGCACACATTTTGTATTTATCAGGAACTATTCATGCATGCATGCGTGTGTCCTCGTCCACGTCGATTGTGTTTTACGAGTAAATTCGGCCAAAAATTTGCAACCAAACAAATGAGCGGCATTTGGGAGGTGACTATGAGTCGCCGCCAATAAATAGGCACAGGAGTCTGCTTTGGCGGAGACTGGCAAGCTACCAGCGAGTAAACCCAGTCCAGTCCACACATTCAAAGCTAAACGTGGATTTCAAAAAAGCTAAACATAGTTAAATGAAGGGGCCTAACCACGAACGAACACGCGGTGTGGCAGCGTTGGGAAGGGCGAGTACGGAGAAGCTGCTAAAATCTCAGAGCCATTCTAAGCAGCCTGAATCGCAAAGGATTAAGGTGATAACCTACGCTTATAATTTTTCGATAGAAGAATTGATCATGCAGGAAAGAAGGGTAAAATGCGACGTAATCGCACTGACCAAGACAGGAAGACGCCACTCATTCAACACCGTCTGTTACACGGGAGGAGAACTGTTCCTCGTAGCATGTGGCTGTAGAGAGGTCGGCAGCGTCGGCGTTCTCGTCAACACAAGTTTGGCCATTAACATCGATTCACTCGAACAACTAATAACCGGAATCGGACGTCCGCGATTGAAAAGATGACGATCAATACCGGTTCTGACAATCTCCATCGTCCACGCACCGACACCAACTATGATGTAGACGAAGTACAAGCGTGCTATATGGACTTGGAGAACTTCTCCACAGTGAGAATACATTCTTCAAGGTCATCATTGAAGATTTTAACGCTAAAATTAGACCCAGAAAAACGTCTGAAAAACGCCAGATTAGAACCCACTGATTAGAATGGAACGAGCAGGGTGAGCAGTTGTCTGAGATTATCATGACGACGAAGACAATTCATGGTAACTCGCAATTCCAGAGGCCCAACTCTCAACGCTGACCGTGGGAGTCTCCCAATGAAGAGTTCCATAACGAAATAGAACACATCATAGTAAATAGAAGGCTTTGCCTAACTGATGTCGCTGTAGTCCTAAAAATTTACACGGGATGGGGCCATCGTCTCCTTCGTGCAAGATTCCATTCCTCGCGTAAAGAACAGAAAGCCGCTAAATTCAAAAACGAACTTCAAAACCACCGTAGACTGGGATCTATTCAGTTCATTAGTCGCCTGTGGAAAGGACGCCTTTGTCGATCACTTCGACGAAGAATACGATTAGCTCATTCAACACCTTCACGTGAGCGCTATGAAAGCCGAGAGTTCCAAAGTCAGCAAGAAGCACCTGCCTCCAGAAATACTCGGGCCGATATACTGGGGTAGAACCGAACGAACTCTAGGTAACAGCCAACTCACGTTCGAACTTGTGCAATAATGCAGACAGGCAATGAAAGAAATTCTTAAAGAGACAACAGCAGAAGCAGTAGGGGTTGGGAAAAGCATTCACAAAGCCCACCGAAGCATCGCCAATCAAAACGCCAAAATTGCTGCATCCAGACGTCCAGACAAGTAGTTACGCCTTTCAGGAAAGTAATGGAAAAGCCATTCACCATTACTGCCCGGATCTCCTCAATAGCCACTTCACTCCGACCTAGTATAAGGGGATATGGACACATCGTCCGATCAGTCCTCTTTTCCGAAAATGGAATGAGATGAAATTTCACGTTCTCCTTCCGAATTTGTTCTCACCGCCCATCCATCTTCATGTTTTAATTCACACAACCCCATTCGCTTTCACAAGATGGAGGATTTTCGTGGAAGCTACAGCGACCTTAGCATCACAAAACCTTTTATTTGCATAAATCTTTAAGAAAAGACTAAATACCGATTGATTTGACTGATAAAATGGTGGAAAAACGAAAAGACATGCGGACTTAAAACTAAGGATATGTTGTTTCACATATTAGTTTACAACTAAACTCGTACGACAATCAACATCCAAAGTGTACTACCGTTCAATAATCCACCACAATCACTTGTGTAAAAAATCCCTTTCTCATATGTTAGTAAATATGGCAGATTAGAATTATAATATCAATCAATAGGATACCTTCATCAAGCGGAAAAATCGATATTCATGAGCTTATACCTAAAGAGTGAAGAACGATGAGAGACACAAAGCAGTTTGTGAGGTCCGTATACGATTGTGTCTTCTTCAGAGGTACCAGCCAGAAATTTCCATACTATCTCTAGGATATAATGGAAACTGATAATGTATAATGAAATATGACTTAATCACAGAATTTACTGGAGGATGAAAGTGTGAGGGTATAAAAATGTAAACGAAGAGAGTAAAGGATGAGATGGTCTGATGAATGTTTTATCTTAAAATCGACAACTAAAGCAAGTTCGTTACCGATAGACGATCATCAGACCCACGTCAAGAATGAAATTACTCAGAAGAAACTTTCATTTTCCGGTTAGAATTACTGTAGCTTTCGAAGAAAACTCCTGCTAATCAGAAAAGTTCTAGGTTTTTCTTTAACTGGTTAGATAATGAAAGTAGCCTTCCATTAATTATTCCTGCTTCATAGGAAATTCGTCAAGAAGTTTTCGAATTGTTTTCTGAAATAGATTTACTAAACGATGAGACAAAGATTATGCAACTAATAAACATTATTCGTTGAGGAATTTTAAGAACAACGTCTTATACCCCTAATAATATCTCAAGAAGTGTTGCCCTTATTTTTTCTTCTAACAAAACCATCAAGGAAAAAGTGACTTGACACAGTCATGGAAAATGAGAAAGACGACAATGGAAAGGAAGTCCTCACAAAGAAGAAGAACCTCATTGGAAAAACTTTGCAGGAAAAATATAAGCAGTGGAATTGAAGAGCAGAGTAATGAGGAAGGAAAGGAGTGAGAGGTGAAAAAGTAGAAAAACCGTACACTACGGTTCCGGATATCCATGGAATATGACCGTGTCATCTACACTAAAATTCGAGCAACACCGACCGAATAGTTCAAGAAGTTCAACGAAACCAAGATATTCAATATTGAAGGAAAACCCCAATAGCGCTAACGTCGTTAAACGTCTTGGTTTCATCAATAAGCGGTATTTGTTGGGGAATCCTCCAGTTCATTCGTTCACACATGAAGCAAACGATATTCCCAACGTGTCAACAGGATGTGACCAAGACCGTGCTGTTCAGATTGTTCCACGAACAGCATGCATCACGAGAAACTTTTCGACTTTTTCTTGTCCTTCTCCTTCTCCATTCGTTCTTGCAGCGTATGCCACTGCACGACAGGACGTCGCGAAGCCATCATTTCTGCCCACTGTTCGTGACATGCATGTGTGACCTGAAAGCACGTATGATAATGTAGTAAGGTGCGTTAGCTATCATACTCTGCTAATATCAGCATTCTATCAAATAAGAGTTAGTTTAACACATTCGCGACGACGTGACCTCTATGGAGATCATTTAGAGGGACACAGTGGACGGCATGACCGCTACAGCGGTCACTATACCTTTCGGGGTTTATTTTGGTGCATAGAAATTTCTTTTCACACACTCCATTTAGCATGGCTAGTCCAGTGGATACGGGCAGTTTTTTCTCAGCTTTACGAAACTGCTAAATTCGTCCGTGCTTCATTGCGCTGCCAATCAATACCTGTCACCACAGTTACTTTTCGTAAAATCAGCGTAGCAAAAATTAAGGTAAACCAACGGCCTCGGTTGCTGGGATGTTGGCATGTGAGCCGCTGGTCAGGATAATCGCCAGTTCGAAATCCAGCGAAGGTTCTGAGTTTTGCTAATATCACAACATGTTGGTGATTGGATTTCACGTAGTGCACTGCCAAGAAAAAAGAATAGGCGGTAAATAAAAGCTAAAGCATGGACAAAAATTTTGGGAATAGGAGTAACTTCAATCATCAAGCAAATGGTACACAAACTCCCTCACCCCGGAAGGCACCAAATCTTCACTTATAGTTGGATCACAATCGATATACATCACTTATGCTGTCACTGATTTCTAGTTTCAGTTCACACGTGCCGAAAAGCTGTTTTCCTTTTCAGTTAGCAGCATATAATACTCAGAATGAACGTCATTAATTGCTAGCTGTTAGGCAAATAAAGTTCTTCCTTTTTGTCAACCGCACGTTGTGGAGGAATACGTGTTGCTACTAACTGGAACAAAAACTGACGAATCTAGAAATCTTCACTGGGCATACACAACTTCTCTTACTCTTCTGCCATAGAAAATGGATTTTTTTTTGGGAATTTAAACCTTAGACAGACATAAAAGTGAACAGTCTTGAATAATTATTGTACTCCCAAAAGCGATGGAGAGCGGAGGTCCTTCTACAAGAGCGCCTAGTTCTCAACTCTTCAAGTCCTCTAGTAATCAAAAATTAACAGGAATTATCTCGAAACCGTCATTGTGCGTTATGTAAGGCACACAAGATTTAGTTTTTGCTCAGTAATCCATTGTTTTCCCCATTTTAAATGAATCACAGTTATCGAATAGAATTCGCAGGTATAAGAGCTAACAGAATAGATTCAGCACATACTGTGAAGTGCTTCCAAATACTTGCCGACAATGATGCAGTAGGATGGTGGATCACAGCAAAATATATTAAGTGGTAACAAATATACCACTAGATCGATAAAGCAAAGCTTGTATGACATTCTCAAGCCCTCAATTGCTCCAGCTGTATCTTTTATGGTAAAAAAAAAACCAGCAGTGTTAGTCATGCACTGCATTTCAACCCGGACGAGTTGTTCTGTTGGAGTAACCAAAATGGAATTAGTCGTGGTCCCACGAAGCAGCCATGCAAATTTGAGCGTCGGGTAATATATGTCGGACGACCATAAGATTAAATACTATGTAAAGTTATAATCACAATCTTAAGCTTTTTATTCACTGCTTATTCATTTATTTACTGCTAAATATAGTCCTATCTTATAATGGGCGATCAATGAAAAGTTAGGTTTGTGATTACGACTACAACCTCCGATTAACTGGGTTCGTAGCCGACTTGGTCTCCTAGAACAATCGCGTTGACGAGCGATTGCCGATGGGGTTGATGGATATAACTACACGAGAGACAGGCGAAACGAAGGACCCGCATGGTGTGGTGGTGAACGCGTTACTACCCGGAAAGGACAATAGCACGTTCGTTCCCCACCGCAGACACCCGCGGTTCGGAGTTTTGCAAATATCTCAGCATTATAGTAGTTATACTACGTAAAGTTGTTTTTCTATCTAAATTCATTGACTCTTTTCTTAACACTACATTAATGAAAGTATTCTTCAAAGTTCGTCAAGTGGGCGGATAGTACAGTAGTAGTAATGCCGGCCATCACGATGATGGTGCTGGTTCGATCGCGCACCAGGCGTATCAAGCCTCTAATCGCTCCGATTTCGCGAATTCGGTACCAGAGTTGTCCAGGAAGAAATCACTCTCTGCAATCCAATTGAAAACGGTCTAGCCCGGCTGTCTCAGAACTTCAGGGAGAATCAATTCGACCAGTATTTTACATTCAAGACGAAATGAAAATCCTCAGGCAGCAGCTGAATCCACACGTAAAAAATGGAAGAGTTTCGTCGATGATGGAAGTGACGAAATGAACCAAATGTGAAAAGTACTGGGATCCTCACAGGAGATTTGAACACGGGTCGCATAAAAAATAATATAAAAAAATATTCTAGGTTAGACATTACAACCTGGTACTCTAGAAAAACCAGGAATAACTCAACTGGAATAGAACTATGCTCATGAATAAAGCTGCCAAAATGTGTACGAGCAGAATTTTAGTCTCTGATTACTGTATTCGACCTATTGAAAAGCCTACCTGGGGCAAATCGAGCGCACGAGAAGAGAGTGTCACCTAAATATGTCTGTTATATGAATACTGCAAAACAGCTCAAATAGTCAAGTAATCGATAAATTTGTATTTCTGGGTCGTTCGTTCACTAATTCGGCTAACGAGGGAGTTGAAGGGAGTTCTTTAGCAATTTTCTTAGTAATGCTATTAAAAAGGACATAAATTTGGGTAAATTGCTGAAAATTCTTTAGGGACGGTGATAAATGCCAACTATTCTATGCATGTATTACTAGCCACTTTTTTATAGACAACTGCAGTACTGCACGACGAACTAACCTCGCCGATGAAGTCGTTCTTGCTCATCTTGTCATAATCCCATACAGAGATAACAATATGGACTTTCTGCAAATATCTTTTTATGTTAAAGATTACAAGAGTCAGAAATCCCAGTATACCCTATTATTGTCAATTTTTACTCACTGCCTACTAATTATTAATGGCAGGGTATTATGTGAAATATAACCATAAGGTATCTGAGATATTTGCAAAACTCTGGACCGCAGGTGTCTATGTTGGGGAACGAATGCGCTATTGTCCTTTCCGGGGAGTAACGCATTCACCACCACACCATGCGGGTCCTTCGTTTCGCCTGTCGAAAAAATAGAAATAGCTGAGAGACAGGCGAAACGAAGGACCCGCATGGTGTGGTGGTGAACGCGTTACTCCCCGGAAAGGACAATAGCGCGTTCGTTCCCCACCATAGACACCTGCGATCCAGAGTTTTGCAAATATCTCAGCAACGTTGTGGTTCTACTTCGCTTAGTACCCTGCCGCGAAATTATAATAGGCGGAAAATAAAAAGGTATAACAATGTTAATGACTCTTCGCGAAATGCAACCGCAATGCTGCTGAGATTTGAGCAAAACTCGGAACCCTAGGCGAGCTTCGAACCTGTCGTTACTCTTTCCAGGTGGGGTTATCCACTGCATCAACGAGGTCCTTCCTTTGCTCTTCCCTCAGTCATCTTTTTACTCTATCGGTGCCACCGGCACTTACCCGTAAGCTGCAGTCGAAGTCACAGTTTTTAATTCCTATTTATTCTTTTATAGCACCGTTGCGGCAAAAAACGGCTGAAAGAACCGCAAAGCGAGGACCTCGAAGATTCAGTGGGTAAAACGTGAGCTCCTGAAAAGGTAATCGCGGCTTCGAAGCTCTCTTGAGATTCTATGTTTTGCTCATATCTCAGAATCACTGTGGTTGCACTTCACGTAATATCCTGCTGTGAAAAGATAAGGCAGTAAATAAAAGTAAAATTTAATCATTTGAATTTAAACTTTACATTCTATAATTTTATTATTCCTAACATTTTATGTTGCAGAAATCACCTGCGACCGGTTAAACACAGATTTCCTTCGTACATCAGAAGCAAAAGGCAAAAATGTTGAGCAAGACGAAGCGAAAAAAAGGAGGTAGTTCTGCTTAGGTCAACAAATTGATAGCCCTCGTCACATAGCTTAGAACATTAAAAGTAGGGTGGAAATAGAAAACTACTCACATCCATCATAGCCGGCTCAATCTTGAACTGAAAACTCTCGTTGTAGTATGGATTGAGTGTACGATACTTACGTGACGTCTTCTTCTTGGTTAACAACTTTCGTCCGTGATAGAGATAAATCTTAACGTACGGATCTGTAAGACAAAATAATGAGAACTTCTGGTAATTTATCAAAACCTCTACTGTCCAGCAGCTCAAAAAATTTTCGTCGGCTTATCAGTGAGCTGCCACGGATATTTACGTGAATACTTGGCCTTCACTGGTTGTACGGACCCAGCAAAATCTCCATTTTTTCGGAGTCTTGCTAGTTTAGCCATTGTGATTCTTGGAGACCTGAGGTCACCCGAGTCAAAGTCTGTCCCAGGTCGTCACCACCTCAGGCAGTCGCCGCTGTTGTGAACCACAGGAATATACGATGGTGATTCCTGGTACTGATTTGCTCTTAGCTGGGCTTGCGGTCGGAAAAGTCGTACTCCTTCTCAGCTTGAGAGGCGTTGGTGCAGGGACGAATTCCCTTCTGTGTATGGCAGCCCGACTTCCAGGAACACTTCCAAGCCACTATGAAGCGGTAAACAGTTCGAGAGAACCATGGATAACAAAAAAGAATGAGATTCAGGAAACAAGGCCGTTGGTTCAGTGCCCTTCTCTATGAATAATGTTGTCAGCAGGAAAAAAAAACCTTTCACTATCAACAACACTGAAGCAAAGTGAGCAAAACATGATTTGCAGTTTTCAGGTCAGGACTTCAACGTAGTTGGATAAGAAAACTTATACCTGGTCGGTGAAAACCTGCGAACTTCAGTGGATTTTTCAAAATCTTTCAATCTCACGATAGCCTGAAATACTATAGCCAGTAGTTCGACAACGTACACATTGAAATCAATGCGTGTATGTCGTCGGGAATGTGTTCCACAGTCTTGTTCTGGTCTGTCGATTACATTTCAATCCAAATCAGATCCCAAGATACTTCGCACATACGACTTTAGTCATATCGTCTTCACCACTTAACACTCAGAGACCGAAGATGATTTTTTCCAAAATGTTGGAAACTTTTCGCTGACTAGAGGATTTGAGGAATCCTAAACATAGCCGGCTTGTAGAGGGCATTTTGCTGCTTTTATTAAGCACGGTTTTTTAGAAGTGTTACTTGAGTTTAAAGGTTCTTCGGAGGTAAAATTTCCAAAACAAGTGAGAACGAAATTTAAGCTCTTGAAATTCCAAGCGGAATCCCGTCAGTCATAAGCCTCAACAACACATTAGGTGACATCACCGTGTCCTAATGGACGTAACAGTGCTTGTTCAGTTGCTTTCATTTTCGAAATACGAGCTTCAATGAAAAGAAGTGCGCAGAAAAGTTCGATGGGTTAGAAGAAATAAGAGTTTTATCATAGAAGTAAAATAAAAGGTTACTTCGTAGGCAATAGTTCCTAGAATGTAGCAATTTTCACCAAATTTAATAAAGTTCGTTCCCAGCTGGGATGTACTGGCTCAAAGTCGAAAGCAGCCGTTACTTTCGCATCGAGTGAGTGTAGATCAATTCACATCAGAAGCCAAGTGTTAAGTAAATCTCTTTGGATATATTCGCTTTCATAGTAAATCATCTCGAAGTGTGGGAATCAATTGGGGACACTCATAATCAGTAGAAAATCACTTCTCGCGATAAGCTGTATTTTCCCTCGTAATGTTCACCTAGAGCAATCCGGTATAGTATCCAGAGAATCATTTCCTACTCATCATTTGCTTCCTTTTATGACGCAACCTGACGTCATAAGATAACACTACTCTTCGCGGAATGTGAATCTTCATTTCCCGTCAGCACTAGAACCTAAGCAATCTCATTTTCTCATCATACAATTTAAAATGACGGCACTAATGGGTGCCAAAACAGTGGATGATTCCAACAAGGATGATTTTCTCAGTGTTCAGAGAATTCTGCGTAGTTTTCAACTTATTAGGGTAAAACGACAATGACATGAATATTAGTACAGTGATAAACGGTGCTGACCGTGACCTGATTGCCGTGCCACACGTCATACGTTCCATCGTGCATCGTGATAAGACCCAGGGTTCATTCGAAGCTCCATTCGATATTCGAATAATCTACTCGGATATCCCCGATCTTTTAACCTTATTTACTTCTCTATCCATCATGTACTTGAGAGTTCAGTACTAGTACTTGCATGAGTATTGCAGTAATGTGCAGTTTTTGGTATTGAAAGTCCTGTTGGATGATGTCCGATGTAATTACAACAGTACTCCAAGACAGTTCTAAACAGAATTTTAGTACCTTTTTTTCGGTCCTCTCAATCACTAATCGTCTTAGTTTCTGCTTTGTTAATCTTGGTTTCATGTACTCTTTTCATAGAAGAAGTACGTATCGAGTTTATCTGACATCAAAATTGAATTCGTTCACAGTTTTTGGACTTCATGGCCTGCAGAATTCTATTTCTAACTTTGGCAGATTTTACTCTCAGTCCAAGGGCGATTGTGGCGCAGTGGTCAGAGGCGCCCTGCGATGCACACGTGGGGTCGATACCCACACCCGTTGCTCACCAAGCCTTCCATCTCTCCGGGGTCGAAAAATTGGTACCAGACTTGTCTGGAAGAATAACAGCACTAATGCATTAACTCTGATGATAATTATTTAGAAAGAACTTTCCCCTTGAATACACTTAGGTGTGAATAGACATTAGCATGACTAAAGATGAGCAACATGAAAATCTTTCCTAAGAAACGAACTATTTTACTTCCATAGAAGCCAACAAATATGCCCAAAACACTTTCAAAATGAGGATTTACCCAGCGTTTGAAACACTTCGAATACCAGTTCCCACTAGACGCACGTAGCGCAGTGGTTACAGATCCCTCCAATAAATATAGTTGTTAGTTCGATCGATGTTGAAGAATTGGTTCCATGCTTGTCTGGGATAAAAAGCACTGACTCGATACATCGATAAGAAATACAAGCTATTGTAATTCTTCCTATTTTTGCTGAGCAAACGCGAGGTGTTATTTACAACATAATTACAATGAATAACACCTCGCGTTTGCTCAACAAGAATACGAAGAAATACTTGATCAATGCCGAGGTTAACAAAAAGTCAGTCGTGGGACAAGTTATTGTGTTAATCAAATATGCATTCAGTAACTAACGATGTTTCATGATGTTGAACGCATGATGTATGTGTCCCCCAGGAAGTGATCAACACCGAACACTTTACCTTCTACTTTCCTTTGTCAGATTTCATTACCAACCTGTCTTACACGAAAATATGAAGGAATCGCTTTTTGTTCTTCTATTCTTGCCCAGGTCTGCACATTACGGGTGGCATATTATTAGACTAATTCTTTTTCTATATTTGTATTCGTAGCGCTTCCCATGCGTGTCAGCCATCAGTTTTCAGTGCCGTCACTCCCATAATCCCACTGATTTGGAGAAAGAATCTATTCCCCTGTGATTTATGAGAGGATCCTACTGGTGAAAACATCTGAACAGCAAAGTCTGATACTTTTACCACTGACTTCGTCATCGCTCCATCCATACAACAGATTCGGAGAGCATCACATTTTAGCGTGATTTTCTAATAAGAAAAAAACATTGGAAAGAAAGGTTGTAGGGAACAGAAAAAAGCTGTTTCAAATGGGGAGAGTCGAAAAGATACGCAATATCTGTTGAGTTATTCATACCACTCAGGAATCTCACAGTATCCGTTTCACGAACGTCATCCACCATAAGAGGTGGACTACATTTGCATTCGTTGAATTACCTTCTTCTTTTCCTTTTTTTCATACTTTGTTCTTGAAATAAAGGCAACATCAACATTTACGCGCAGTAACCCCTACAGAAGTGATAGTACTACATCGAGGTAGTGGCCCGTATGACTTTGCCTTAACAGAGGTTGTACCCCTCTGGTGGCTTATTTTGGCGCACAGAACTGCCTTCCTTCACTTTTACTAATCAATCACTAATCCAGCACAGATATTGCAGTGGCCGTCGTCCATTTATACCTATCTTCTACACTTAACATCTTTCAAAAATCCTTTCTCGAAGAATTCACCAATCGACGAGTATTGATTCTCATTTCACTCCAAATCGTTTTGCAATAGACTCAACATGAATTGCAAAGCAGTTCGAAATGCTGACAGCAATGTGTATGCATGATGCACACTAGTAAAATATAGTAAATAACCATGGAAAATAAAATATATGCCATGAATAGCCCTAGAAAGATAAAGAAAAGTCTCTTCTGCAACCCCATCATGTCCTCAACTTCACAAGCCCTCTAGTTATCGAAAAATTATCGCCTATTGTCGAAAAACTAGCAACCTCGTAAGGACATCAAATTAGGCGCCGCCCCACGGGACAACCATGAAGAACTAAAAGTTGTCGAGTTACTGCTAAAGCTGATAATATGCCAATGGCATTGGTCAAGAAGAAGTTAAATCCCTCAGTATTTACCAATAAGTTTGAAAGTATGACTAAGCATTTTCAGATTACCGATAAAGCCTGTTTTTTGAAGATTTAACTTCTATTTAGAGTAGTTCATTATAGATATTAACAGAATGCAGATCACTACGATGGAATAGGAAATCTTGCCTCGTGCTAGGCTATATCATGAGCTAGAGCAGTAACCCGGATATCCCAAGCCCAGTTGAAAGGTAATCCTCATCTTCAATATCTGAACTCACCTCCATAATGCGATCCTACTCGGTGCATCCTCACTTCCAATTCTTCGGGAGTATTCAATACAACTGTTGCTGCTTCAAGTCAGCACTACTTTCGATATGCTTCCTTATTAATCAAGTTCTCATTTATTTTTATTTATAAGCGGATTTTTTGAAGTTGGAAACGTATGATGTTATCGAAAGCAAGTTCAGACAAGAACTATTGCCATTGTAAGCAACCTATCTCGAACAAAAGCTTAAGCGGAATCCTTTGGTCGGCTTTTACGACTCTATGGGTTTGTGACACCGAGAAGCGACCCGCTGTCTTAGATACCTTCCGGTCTCAACTATTTGTCGTACTGTTACGAATTCTGCTCTTCACAGATCAGTTCAGACTCGTTCGTGCACGTTGAATTCACAATAAATTCATTCAATTCGTTATGTTGCTTTCACAGTTTAGATGGAATGGCACTCGTACGAAATTTTGTAAGATGATCCGACTTGATCAG